TAAAACAAAATATTCTAGTTTATTTTACACAACAAATAGAGAACTTCAGAAATCACTTAATGAGGGCTAACAAATATAATAGAGGAAACATTCACAAACTTATTTTCTGCAGAATTCAAAATTTTAGAAAAAAAAACTTGTGGGCATTGATTATTATGGATCTTTTTTCTTTTTTTTTTTTTTGACAAGTGAACACAGAACTCTCTCAAGTCTGGAGACAATCAATACACTGAGCATGAGTCTATCTTGTTTCAAGTCCATTCACTAACTGTGTATTTACAGTTCCACAATTATTGAAGCCCTTTTAACACCAAGGTTTCTTAACTACAGCATGTAGTTTTAATGAGGTGAATTTCAACTGGCTGCAATTTCACCTATCTTTCATAATCRCATTTGTTCTATGTAGAACCTTTCCATTTAAATTTTTTCCTACTAAAGCCTCTAAAGGCTTAAAAATATCTTCTGTTACCAAATCGAGAAAAAAAAAACAGATAAGCACCATTTTAATACTTTTCAACAAAGAGCTGTATGTTTGTTATTGACAATGGAGAAAGAAGCATAAAAACAGATACAAAAACCTAACTTAAAATTTCCTCAAGTTGGGATCAGCTTCCTACAGTTCCTTCATGCATGGTGTCACTATAGTCCTCACAACCTTCCTTTGGCCAAACTGTTCACCTGGTTCAACCAGGTTTTCCAGTTACTTGATTTCTACAGATAGGCTGTTTCAAAAAGTGTAACAATGTTGTCASTGTGAAACAGTAAGCAATATATAATAATGCCAGCCTGCCAAAGTACTAAAGATTTTTAAAAGCCAGTGAACTATAGATTAAAATACACCATGCAGTATATTCCTGCTGAAAATGCTGCAAAAAAAGTATGAAGTTCACCTTGTTTCAAATTACAACACTAGGAATAATGCTCCAGCCCYACAAGGGTTCTCATTAAAAATACAACAGAAAGTTAACCCAAACTTCTGTCATGATTAGGTTTCATGAGCAAACATTTCTTCCAAATGCCATRTGTCTCTTTTGAAGAATCACCATTTCTACATTTAATCTATTTTACAGACTACTGACCTAAATTGACTTTTYGGGAAAAGAGAGGATGCCAGACTTCTTGTTGAGACAGCCTGAGGTTTCCTACTAACACCTAGATTACATAAAGCTTCCAAATGGTATAGAAGCAAGCAATTCCCTAGAAGACTTGGAACAGGGCTCTCATATTTCCAAGTGAACTTGCCAAAGACCTATAAGAGATCTTGAACAGCACAGGAACAGGCATATAGCTCATTTGGCTGACATACTCAAGTCCTTTTCTACTGTAAATTATGGTGTCCCTTAGGATTAAAAAGCTGCTTATGCCATACTGCCAAGAAAAAGCCCGAGTATCCATTTCTGCAAGGGCAGGACGCAGAGTGCACATTCTCAGTAAGAAGGCTTTAGAGCAAAGAGGTATTTCCAGAGGCTCTGCCACTTGAATGAAGAGCTGAGAGCAAGTGCATCAGAAGTAAGCAGATCAACAGTGTGCTTCCTGGCAAAGGTCTCACTTGGGGAAGTGTATTGACCGTGGAGTAAGAAATATGCCAAACAAAGCACTGCCCCATTAAGTTAAAGACCTATCACTTCTCATTCATCACTASCAAGAAGCTCAGTGTCTGAACATCTCCAAGAAGGAAAGTCAGARGAAAAGAAGCCTGCTGGATTCCTTACTCCCAGGGCAGTAAAGCACTGCAGCTGCCTGATTTGGTATTTTTTTGGCAAGCTGTTTTCAGCAGGCTTGATCATCCCCATCACCAAATGCACAAGTTGTATGAGCCTTCCCATCCCTGCCACCAGTAGGAAAATGTCTTGCACAGCCATTCCCAGCACAAGGAGAGGGAAYTTCAGGCTGAGCAGGACACTGCTATTGCTCATCTAAATACCTGTTCCACCTGCCTCCCTGGAAAATGGTGTCTCACTTCCAGTGCCACCAAACTACATTTCCTACAATCAATGGAAAAAGGCCAACATAGTGAAAASTTCTTTYTTTGAGTATCAGAGGGKCCTTCCACTCGAACAGCRTAACTGGGCAGWGGTGGAATTACCCATTTCTTCAGTAARGAACATCTCCATGACKAATATAATGAAAAGCCRTGCACACAGGCCTCTGAGGTATAAYTCAGGTGTCCGCAGTTAAGAAAGCCAGCAGCATGGCTAAGGAGCTCAATTTTCTTATCCTCAAGACAGGGTAGCCTCAAATCCTTTTTGRACTCAGGAAAAAGCTGTACTTTGTCACCTACAACTCATAGGAAAATACACCTTTGTCAAACAATATCCTATGAAAAGTACCTCTGGGATATAAAAGGCAGTTTAAATGAATGGAACTTGCAGTAATCTCAGCCCATGCCCAACACAATTTCTATCTGCAGTAAATTCTGTTTGGTTACAGAAGTCTGAAGAGGAGAAACCTTCAACTGCAGGTCACTTACATGACTGGAGATTTTTGTGAAAGGGAAATGAAAAGCAACGCAGTTAAAGGAGCTGCTGTTCTTCCTCCAAGGCTGACCTGCAACTTCCAAATATGGATTCATGGATATTTGACAGTCAGAGGAAACGGACAASCAGGACCAACAGGTGGCAGAGGCACCAGGTGAGCAGTGAAAGCCTGAAATACCCATCCAGTGCTCATGAGRGGAAGGCGAAAAATGGCACGCCCACTGACTACTGCCTTGGAATGCAGTGGTGAGCAGAAGGATTTGGGACTGTAAGACACAGCAGAGCTGTACTGCATCAGCAACAGCAAACAGCTTCCATAATATAAATTTACTCTACAGAGATGGCAATTTTGAGGCTGGAGAAAAATCTCAAGTGTCTTCTAGGTACCTGCAAAGTAGATCCTACAGAAGCTGGATGTGAAAGAGTATCAAGGTTTGGTGGTAGTCATAAAGATCCATGAAGTCTCTAGGTAAGGAGAACAGAATGCCCTAACTGGACTCTTCAAAAACCACTGTTCTCTGTGGAATAAAGACTTCTAAAGTCAGCATTTTGTTCTGTAATGACAGTGTGCCTYTAGACACTTGTCCCGTTCATGTACATGTCTCTAGTAGCCATTTGTGACCACTGTCAGATGGTACAGTGGACTGCCCAGACTCTTGTCTRACCCAGTGTCATTGTTCATATGAAGATAATTACAGGAAACACCTCACTTCTGGAAGAGACTATAACCTTATTGTTTAAGAAATACACTTGGCATCTACATCAATGTTCTTGATTAGGCTAGGAGATGCCGGATTTGTAAACACTTATTAATATTTAAACCCACATTTTCAAAAGTCTGACTACAAACATCCTGAAGAAAAAAGGGGAAGAGATGCATATGCAAACCAATATACGCCCAAATATTTTCCAGAGCTGGAAGGAGATGGTATAAAACAAGGAATGACTGAAGCACTCTGGTTTTGGCATGCTTCATTTTTTTTCCTTATTCCATGTATTGAATTTTGATTTTTTTTAAAGGAAAAGGGAGAAAAACCAACATATTAATTTTTGGGGGTTTAATCTGCTTCACTACTGAATTTTTAGATAAACTGAAATATCAGTTSAGTGGTTATTCTGTTCTTATCCTCCCTTCACCTGCTCTTGTATCTCCATGTTTTCACTGCAGAGCATGTACAGTGAAAGCCTACATGTAAAAAAAAAAGACATTAAAAACCATCTATATCTAATATATTATTATTAAAAGCCCATACTGAAAAAAACCAGAAATCCTAAGCTTTCAGTCCTGGTACTGGGTATGCTAGTCTTGCATGCAAAAAACACCATGGTTCAGGTTAAAGGAGATTACATTATAATTGGTTATTTATTTATGTTTACTTGTTTATAATATTTACTATGTGCAGTAACAACAACAATAAATATTAAAGAGATAATTGCCTTTATGGAGTCTTTTAGGTGGTATTTTCTGATACTATTCTAATATATATTGCTGTCAATTCTGATCCAGACCCATGGAAATGTTTTCAATTTATCAGGAATTCTTAAGATCCCAACAAAAAATAATAMATTTTCAAAATATTAACTATATCTTAGTAATGCGAACATACTCAAGGCAGCTTGTTTGCCATGTCTATCTTCTTCCAAATTTTATATTTGCTTTGCAGATCACATATGGAAACATTACATGAATAGGAACATGAAAATATTACTTAATCTTACAAAAACCCCTTACTAAAAGAACCACTTATTCATAAAAGCCCTATACCTGAAGTAGGGTAGTTTCAACAGAATTATGCATTTTTTTCTGAATGTGTACACGAACCATCAAAAAAGCAGCCACTTCTTTAGCAGTAAACAGTTGCTTTTGTTAGACTACCCCCGCCCTAAGAAAATGCGGATTTCCCTGTTCTAAGATCATAATTACTAAGCATTCCTCATCATACAGCTTTGAAGTTATACCATGCAAAAAAATCCTGGCATGGGTTTTGGCCCTCATTTCTTATATTTMACAACCAATTTCACAATAGTGACAGTTAAAGGAATAATAATAATAATAAAAGTCATCCAGATGTAATATACACCTCTGTTGAAGGCTGTGGGTGATGGGCAGCTCTTTCCAGCCATGTGAAACAGTGCAGACCTACAGCAAAAAATGCATCTACATAGACCTACTACAGAATTTCACAGGATATTTATATATACAGTAAGTGCAGTGTGGATTCCAGCAGAGACACCCATATATATATACTCATTTCCCCAACGTAAATACTATCCCCAGATGTTAATTTTATTTGTAATGTGAGAGACCTTTRTAAGCTCAGTGTACACTCACAAAAAACAAGACAGACATGCACACACCTTTACAGATGAATAATTACATAAAACAGGGTCCCTTACTGTTCTCAGCTCTGCAAAAATACTGCAGTCATGAATTAAACATCACCTTCCAAAGTTCTCTGTTTTGTGCCTGCTCTGGCAAGGTTTCTGGGAACACTGATTTGAATGTGAATAGCTTTACATTACCTCCAACCTTAGGCCCACCAGCTGATCCTGGCTTTCTTGCACTGTTTGAAGGATTTCCTGGCTTTTTAGGTGCTGGAACCTTGAAGGCTGAAGCAGCTGATGATGGCCTATTTCCATCCACTGACTCTTCATCATCAAAGCTTTTGTCTAGAAAAGGATTCATAAAATAAAAATACAGCTATTAGAATGGATGTATTTTAATTTCCTAATCCTCTGTTTTGCTTCACATTTCACAGAAATTCACAAAATGCATAAATACAAACAAGTATTTATCACTCTGTCTTGTCTCTGACCTAGGAATAAAATTACAATGAGAGATAAACAGCATTTTCTACATCTCAAGCTCTTATAAAATATTATTTTACCATCATAATTAACCACAGTAAAACTGAGCATAAAAATGACTCCTACACATTCATTCCCACAAAGGAAAAATATCCATGCACAGATTGATTTTTTTTAACCATTTCTTAATATTTTCCCAAAAGGAAAGCCCTTGATAAATTTTTTATCATTCCAGTCTACCGAAGAAAAATGCTTCTCCTTTTCCTTCTTTCACTCATGCATGCATTTTCTGCTACACACCCTCCCACAATGTGTCTAACTAGCACTCCCTGTCTCCTTCCTTCCACCCAGATTTTTCAACTTACAATCACAGATCCTCTTGCAGATCAGTCGCCTCATTCCTCTGATAGCTCTTCAATCCCCTCACCCTAGGACGGACCCAGCACCTCACATGGCCACATGCAGTAAATTCTTAATACTAATCAAAGATTCTATCAGAATCAGCTCGCAAACACCCTAGATCCACCACTGAGATTTGTGCCGGCATCTTTCTCTCCCTTCCCTGCACTAGGTGCTGCACAACCAATGAGCTGCAAGGTGACATCATCTTCTGGGAGCCAACGCCAGAGGAAAAGGTGAAAATTCTCCATGCAAATAAATTCATTCCCACACACAGTATTTGCCACTATTCCAATCCTTCGTTAAAAAAATTAGACAGGTAGACAATAATCCGGGGCTTGCACTCACTCCTCTTTCCTAGAATTTCAGGTTTGTGTATTTTTAATCATGAAAGAAATTCATCTCTAGTGACTAAATAGTCTCAATTCAAAATATTGTGCCTTAAAAGAACCCCAACATATTCCAACAGTAGAACATAAYGTTTTCTCCACCTACTAAGGGAAGAAAGATTTATCTATAAGCTTGAGAACAGAAAACATACCAGCCTATGGTTCCTATAATAAATAAAATGGGCGAGGCTGAGACACAGCTGCACTAGAGTAATGAAAGATCAATTTAGCATATTACTTGCTCTAAAGCCTGCCATTTGTTAAAAAAAAAATTAAAAAATTAATTACAAAGCATAATCTCTGGAATGGTGCACTGTTTACCCTTCACTTATTCAGAACTTGCTCCCAGTGAAATGTCAACTATATTTAACAATGTAGCCTCCCAGAGGAAGGCAGCTTGCATTAAAGGGTATAGCAAGGTTTTGTCCAGCAGCATTTGCAGCACCATCAAACGTCAGAACGCCCTGCATTTAACGTGTCCAAGATCACTGCTTCTATAGTTAGCACATTTTTCTAGCATTTACCAAAAGCTGTGTTTTGCACTAATCAATCTCCATGATTAAAGAAACAAACCAGCACGAGAAACATACAGATGCATATTAATAACTTTCACTGACATGGTTTCCTTCTCTCCAACAAAACACTTAATTTTAAGAGAMTTTCAATAAGAATAATTGTATTTGGATCTGTAAACTCTCTGAATCGGAGGAAAAGGCATCAGCCTTCCTCCCCACTGYCCTGTTTGTTGCCATGGAAACAGCACTCCCGCTCAGCATATGGGCTGAGCCAGAATACATTTTGATTTCTGATGCTTCTACTCTCACTATCTTAAATAGAACCAGACATCAAGATTTCAACCAAGGAAAACCACCAATACAAAGGCCAGATTAAGTGAAACCATCTAAACACTGTAATAGAAGGGTAAMTGGCAAGAGTCGATACCTAGGATACTTTCAAAATTACAGGTAATTTTAAAACAGCATTAGCAGTATCTTGCTGATTTTTAAGCAGCATGAACAGATCAACACTGACACGTGAGCATGGAATCATGAAAACCAACTAAAAGTGAAAACACACTTTTCAAATAAAAATGCTTTTATTGCTGCACTTTCAGATCTGATCAAGAAACAGTCAAGACTTTAATGCTTCTACCCAACAGCTCTACAATGAGCAATGATATGCAAACGTTGCACAAGCTTTTGGARCAATAGTAATTTGCAAAACAATTTTAAAAATACAAAGTGAGCATTTGCTCATTTGTGAAAAAACTCCCAATAAAAAAAAAATCTAACCACCACCAAACAACTGTGTACTTTGGGAACCAGTGATTTAGATAAATTGATTTTATTTTTACCAAGCAATTCATTATGATGGATTATTAAGGATGGGAAATTGTAGAAGTTATTGCTGAACCCCAATATGTGCAAATAGAATTTCAGAAAAGAAAATGCAAAGGCAAATGCTTTGTCATACTGACATGTTGTACATACTAGATGATGATATATTAAACAATGTTCTTAGTAATACCGTCAAATTACTTTGCCYAGTTGAAGAATATTTTTTCATATATTTAAAACATTGTTAATATTGGATTAAAAATCTACACTATGAAACAGTTTTATACAGTTTTTCAGTCCACGTGAAACCCACCTTTTTAAAATAAATGCCTTTTTTTTTAGATACACAGAATTTATTTTAACCACTGGTAGATGGGTGTTCTTAACCAGATTTTTAATGGATTATGTTAAAATAAATTAAAAATTGAGGTACAGTTACTTGAAGTGTTCCAAAATAATAGAAGGTAAAATTAATGGCGGAAAAGGATCTGTTTTAATTCTATCAAGGTTAAAGTGACAGTGCAGCTGAGCCTCTTTTGTTCTGGATTTGTTTGTTTTTTTAAATAAACATAAGAAGGAAAATACCATGTCGTTTTTCAAAGAAACCAGAGGTTTTCCCTACCCTTTCAGGCCTTTACGCTTTCATTTCCCTAGGATTTAACATGAAAATCCCAAGTGATCTTTACAGACATTCCAGGTCCATAAATATGCTTTACACTGTGAAGATCCAAAACCTGAAGTCTGTATTTATAGCACTTCATGAAACCAGAGSACTATATTTGCTTCCCCTACAATGTGCCTTCCATGTGCTCTCACTCATCTGCAATATCCACTTGTTTGTAGCTCCTAGAAAAGCACTCCCATGTACTTCAGCATGGAGAAGCCCAGCTCRAGTTGTAACTGCTGCTCCCCAGGGCATAATCAAAGCGCAGTTCCGCTCAATCTGGCTTTACGACGTGCCTTTGGTTGGCCAAAGGACCAGGGATGGAGCTCCTGACAGCCAACACACACAGCATGGGGATGGCTGTATTTCAGTATCAAACTGTGCCTCTAATATTAGTTTTATRCAGTCTACAAACAAAATATATTTCCACAACAGAAGTCATAAAAGCCTAAATGTAACTGGTATTTCAAAGCAAAGCCATCTGATGGATGCAAACTTTCCCACTGTAAAATGGCTGGATAATTTTCATTCTAGGCAATTTTAACACTTTAAGAGTATCATATTTTACATATGCAAATACACCTGACAGCTGAGAAAGCTTTATCCAGTGTTTCACAACAAAGTCTCAAGGTACTAAAAATAAAAAGTCATATGAATTGCTAGCAACATACAGAACATCCTAAAGGAAAAACAGTAAATTAAAGACACTGAGCCTCAGTTACATCTCACAACACTGCTGTTGTAGTTGCACTATTTCAAACCAAAGTAGACAGGAGTTTTGGAGGTAGGCACACCATACAGAGAAGATCCTGGGATCTAGTACTGCCAAAAGCTCCTGATGAGCAACAAATGGCTCCTACTTTGGTACAAGTTCTCTTCCAGATGAACACCCTCAAAGCAGGGGAAGAAAAAATTCAAGTTGTTTTAATCTTCAGAAAGCTAGAAAATCAAGATTCAACATCCAAGCAAAAGTTTTCTCTTCTAATGGAGGGCAGAGAACTGTAGCACAGAGGATGTTCTGCAGGTACAAGGCAGCAAGTGAACTGCTATCAGTGAACAGCTGTGCATTTCCACAAAACCTTTCAAGATTTGTCTAAGAAATCTTTGCAGGGCAAGACCCTCCAAACCAAACTGCAGGACACATCAGAACCCAAAGTCTACCACACTCCCAGAACTTATGATTTACCAAAGTTATTTGAAGATTAAATCCAGGCAGACAGACCAAAACTCTGAACTATCACAAAGGATTCAATACTAAAATTTAAAAGAAACAAACTATGCCATTTGAACTAAAAATAAACAAAATATATGTGTTTATCTTCTGGCCTTGTAGCAYTACTCTTGGGGGCCAGATCACAAATGTGGACTGTATGTTTTCTGAAGTATTCAGAGAGATCAAAGCATAAAYATTTATAATGAAACTTGATAGTCAAAGACCATTCTAGTACTCGGAATCAAAGAACATTCTAGTACTCACAATATTTTAAACTTCAAAACAATCCATTTACTGTGATTTGGCTATAGAGCAGTAAAGGTAATGACAGATGTATCCAGTGACAAGGAAAAATTCAGAGAGAAATAAAAAGCCTTTCATATCCAGAGAGAAAAAATACTTTCAAAGAAGATTAAATTAAAATACATTTATTTTTACTGCAACTCAAGCCTCTACCTTAGCTGGTGTGAAAATTCATATAATTAATGTGACATTTTGATATCTAGGATTTTGCAAGTGATAGTAAGAGAAGAATGAAACAGTATCACCTACATATCTATACATATACAAAATCTATATTCTACTTGTGCTACTCAGCAGCAGGAARTCGAAACTTAACTGACTTAAAGAAGATCCTCAAGTGATACCAAAAGGGCAAAAAAAYTGGATCCCCTGCAGTAATACTTAACCAAAACTGGTCATAAAAGCAAATCATGATACTGTTTTCAGTASCAACATCTTACATATCTAACACAACTACAGTAAATACCAACTTGCAGTATTTCATTGTACTTTGACAAGAGTCAAACCAGAGAATGCAGTGTATTTAATATTTAGAAATTTAATAAAACTACTTTTAA